AAACTATTTCATGATCGATAACTTGATCAACTCACATATTCATAGTTATCGATATAAGTTTTGATGTTCTCGTTTGTAATTAAAGCAATTAAAGCAGTCCAAGTATTTAAATATATATATATATTAATCACATTAACATAATGTGTATAAATATTAGATAATTTACTATAAATATATGGCATATACCTTCCTGGTCCCATACTCATCGTATCGTATCAACGCCTACATTGAATCATTGTGAACAGCCTAGTTGTCTGCCCCAAACAAAATTGAGCATTACGTCCCGATAGACTTAAATGTCAATCTGGATTTTGAGGAATTGTGTTTTTCAGGCCATGAAATTTCAGAACATTTGGCGCTCCCTGGGCGCAGTCGGCGGCGGCTCCTTGGCCACTTACGTTGGCCTCAAGCTGATCGAGCGCAACCAGACGCACGAGGCCTACCACGAGAAACAGGAGATGGTGGGCAGGGGTGGCTGGTGTCACGACTGGGATCAGCGCCAGCTCGTGCAGCAGAAGCTCTCGAGCGAGTCGGGCATTGAGCACGAACAGGAGCCGGAGGCGGTTGCCCTGCGACACATTGTGCTGGTGCGGCATGGCGAGTATAAGGCCTCACCGGATGGCGGACACCTGACGGAACTGGGGCGACTGCAGGCGCATCGCACGGGCCAGCGACTGCACGAGATGGGCGTGACGTGGGATCATGTGGTCGCGTCGACCATGTCGCGCGCCCAGGAGACGGCCATGATCATACTGAAGCAGATTAACTTCGATCCGCTCAAGATGAAGCGCTGCGAGCTGCTGCCCGAGGGCACGCCCTGCCCAGCCGATCCGCCCCAGAATCGCAGCGTTGAAAGCGTGGAGCGGGCTTTTCGCCGTGATGGGCCACGCATCGAGGCGGCCTTTCGCCGCTACTTCTTTCGCGCCTCACCAGAGCAGAAGCAGGACTCCTACCTGCTGGTCATTGGCCATGCGAATGTCATACGCTACTTGGTCTGTCGCGCCCTGCAGTTCTCGCCAGAGGCCTGGACACGCTTCACTCTGCACCATGGCTCCATCACCTGGCTGACCGTCTGGCCCACGGGCTATGTCACGCTCCGCTGTCTAGGCGACACGGGCTTTATGTCCATCAACGAGCTGACACACCGCAGACCAAAGGAGCAAGCTAAGTAGGGCAGAGCAGCGATTCCTGCAGTTGCTAGTTTTTACATTTAAAACTTCTATATGTAACAAATTATGTACGCCCCATCAAATTGTTAAAGTATTGTGTAAGTGTGTCTAATAAATAGCTGCAGCTAATTTTTTTTAAATTAAAAATTATTGTGGCGATCCGGCATCACTCTTGTTTTCCTAATCGATATATTCGATAATAATCACTCAATTTACCATCAATAGATAATGAGAATTGTCATCCTCATCTTTCAGCCTTTGAGGATCATTATAAGGACCGCCAACTTAGCCTTTTACCGGCCAGATCTGGCCTTTTTCAACTGCCATTTGCAAGGAAAAATGGAATCTAGCTGCTGGCGGGAAATTTGGCATTTTTTACTTGAATATTATTGGCAAAAACAATTCGTAGACTGCCGAGGAGATTTGGAGATTTTATTAAGCTGGATAATCGTGTGTCAATTTTCGAATAAAAATATAATTCCCATTTTCAATGGGCTCAGGGTATAAAAACTGAAATGGCTATATTTCTGGCTATTCCTGAATTTGATCTAGCTTTTTCTAGCAAGTTTGAAAGGTTAATTTAGCCTTTTCTTGCTCGGAAAAGTTGGCAGCACTGATCATTATATACGTACATACTATGTATGCACTACATAGATCGTAATTAAGTAAATGTTATATATTATGAGTTTAAACAAAATAAATGGAAATATAATTGGGTTTTAATTTAATAACCATCACCATAACTTGTGACCTCATCTCGATAATATTATTGGAAGTATAATATCTGACAAATATGATGATTGTATTCAAATTTATATATTATTTTCCTATATAACATTATACTTTAAAGTATTTATAGAGATTTTTATTTCACGTCCCTTCCAAACTCGATTTAAACTGACTGAAAGCTGAGCTGCGGCTCTTGCACTTGTCACACAGATTGATGCAATGATTAAATGTGAATAATATTATTTTATTTTATTTTCTCTCATATGCTTCATAGGCTGAGAGTTTATAATATTTCGCATGCTTTGGGCAACACTTGAGTGTTTAATTTACACACAAATGCGCACACTTAACTACAAGTGTGTATGTGTGTGTGCGTGTGTGTGTGGGTGAATGCGGCTTCATTTGTAGCCGGACTTTTTGGCCTCTGCATGCTGACCATCCGGAACGTGACTTTTATGTTCATTTTGTGTTGGGCGCATATCGGATGGATGCAGCTGCTGGCAAATGGCAAAAGCGGAAGAGCGGAAAACCCCTCTATAACTTTGACCAAAATCACTTTTGGGCAATGCCTGCGGCTGCTTGTCCTCCCTAGCCCCGCGCTGTGGCCGTTGCCACAATTCCGCACTCTTTCGGCTTTGTCCCTGCTCATTAGCGGGACTTTAATTTTGGAGCCCTGGTACTCTGGTTGTTGGGGTTTTCTCTCTGGTCGGCAACTCGGTTACGGTTTCTGGGTTTGCTCTTTGTTTATGTTTTCAGAGCCGCTGTCGTCATCATTTCATTAAATTTGCATCGCAACAATGTGAATTTCATTTGCTTAGCCACAAACTCGCATTATTTCTGTTCAAAGCCTGTCAACTATTTGCTATTTCCACATTGTTGCAGGAATTTAATAAAATGTAAAAAATAACTAAAAATAAGCAAACACTGAATTCTGAATTCCCCCCTCCCCCCACATACTCGACTCACTTCACTTCCACCTCAGTTCACTTCCCCCACGAGGCAGGACGGAGCAATCTCTGTCCGCCCACAACTAGTTTTCCCAGCCAACTACATAGTAGAAACATATCGATTTTCAGCTGTGAGATATCTTATATGTGTATGGATAAGCGCTGCAATAATAGCAAGAGCATGCTCAAAGGGATTTCTCCAAGCAAATATTCGCTGATTCAAGTGAAACATATAAGAAAAAAA